TTTTCTTTTAAAAACCAAAATTTAATTAAAAAATTTAAAAAACTGCAGGAAAACCCCCACCAAAAATGAAAAAAAAAAAAAAAAAAAAAAAAAAAAAAAAAAAAACCTCATCCAAGAGCCGGAGTCAATTAACTAGTGAGGCACAACAGTTTGTTAACAGCAAGAAGCAGCAATTCAAGACGCTGTGGGTTTTTGGATAGAAATCATAACTGAAAGACTTGTTGCTATTCTTAAATAATGTAAAAATAATAATTTACTGCCAACAAATACCAAGCTATGTTGTACTTAGTTTACTAAGTAGTTGGTGGAGTAAATGGTAAAAGGCGCTTTATCCAATCATTTTTGACCACTCAAAGCGCTTTACATTACAGTCACATTCACCCATTCGCACTCACAAACGCTCACACATTTATACACCGATACGAAGATCGGTAGGCAATTTGGGTTTAAGTGCCTTACCCAAGGGCACATCAACATCAGGTAGGAGGAACCTACAACCTTCCGATCGCAAGACGACTACTCTACCCACACAGCCACAGTCGCCCCAATTTATTTTTAAAGTTTTTAAAGCCAATTTAAAAGCTGCCTGGTAAAAAAAATATAAGTATTCTGAAGGTAAAAAGTTTGGATTCAAATATGTTCACATCCAGTTTCAGGGCTCCTGTCCTGAGACCTTCAGATTGAGGAAGTTCATTCATTAAGAGGGTTTATTTGCTCTGACTCATGTTCGTCATTATATTCATTGAAACAATTATTCACAAAGCAGACCAGAAATCCAACAATTACTGGAGTGAATTCAAGCGTCGCGACTAACTGTTATTTTCCTGTGGATACCTTCAACATGTAGTAATAAGAGGGATCGAGACAAATATGAAAAACAAGCTGCACAAAGCAGCAAAAAATGAAATAATGTTACTCTGTAAAAGAGAAATGAAATTAGTTACAAAACAAAAGGTCAAGAGAAGATGGTAGAAACAGTGTTGGCATAATGTGGAAAATTGACCATATGATTATGATTTGGTCATTCTGGGTTAAAGAATATATTATTTAAATTGGGGAAACATGCTACAGGGAAACGTGACTTCTGTTTTTGAGATGAGACAGTGGAGCACATTTTATAGTTCTGCACCACATATAATGTTGAGAGAATGGGACTGGGACGTAATTTAAGATAGTAAATACCAGCTGGACGTGCCGGAACCTTTGGACTAAGTCTGTAGTTCAAAAATGTTGCTATTTTTTGTTACAGTACCTAACAATTAAATGCATTTAAAACATTTTTGAGAATACATAAAACTACATACAGTTTCACATGTTGTGTTTGAAACGAATTACTTTAAGTCAAAAGTGCAAGAGGAACACAAGCAGAACAAACGCACAACAACAACAAGTGCCACGGACAGGAAATGAAAAAGCGAAAATAATAAAAGGGTTCAGCGCGATACGGCTCGCAGGAAAACAAAAACACCGACTTTAGGGGAAGGGAAGGTATCTAAAAAGAAAGAGCCAAAGGCATTGACTGGAAGCGGCAAAGTGAGAGAGGCCAGTATGTCTATGGACAGGAAGTGTTGAGGCGTGGTTGGCTCACGCTCCCCTCTCATCAACCCCTACACCCCCACCCACCACCACCACCGCCGCCACTGCCGCATCACCGCCCTGCTGCTGCCGCTGTTGCTGGGAAAAGGGCTGACCACGACACACAAACACACCGACAGGCACACACAGACGGTGCATTTACGCATGCATGCTCGGCCCAAAATACACTCAGACTCGCATTGAAGCACTGGATGGGAACTGCTGTTGGCTGCGTGACTCTGCCACAGCAGAGGACACATCAGCCGAGGCGGTCAGGTGAGAATACGGGAGAAAACTAGGGGTGCGCCGATAAATCGGCCCCAGATTTCCTTCATTTTGGGAGACCAGTGATCGGCCGATACTTAAAAATGAAGTCGATCTTACCCACCAATCTTATCTGCGTGAGCAAAGGTATAAACATCAACCACTGTCTTCTTTTGCCCTGGCGTGACAGAGGTTTGACTGACGGACCTAATTGTCTGTGGTTAACAATAGTCACCCCACTGTTGCCAACTCAGCAACTTTCTTGGTACAATTTGTAACATTTCAGACAAAAAAATGACTATTGGCCAAAATTGAAATTGGTAGGTCAGGGTTCCTTAAAGATCAGTAGTCGGCCTGAAAACAGCAATCGATGAACCCAGTGTGATATAAGCCTGGCGGGCCTCCAGGCTTTACTTGGCTAAACATTGTTTGATCATTTTAAATAGGGTTTTTTATAGAACAAGTAACAGTGACAGTAAGGACGGATTAAGCCAGGTTTATAGTTGAAGCACTGATCTGGGCACGAAGGGGTGCGCACCAATCACACCATCCCTGCACCTGCTCATGCGCTTCTGAACTTTTGTAACTTTTTAACATTTATTAACACAAAAACACGTTGGGCTGCTGGTGGACAGCTCTAATGCCCTTAGCACTGGGCTTAGCAAGGTTTCTAGAGAAAACCGCTGCTCAAAGCGATCAACGCATTGTCGGGACAGTCATGGTTTCTAATCATGACCGCTCACCAGATCAACGCTTAGACATGTCAGACAAGCAACTAAAAACCTTATTTGCAGTGTGATTCAAAGTTTGAAGCTTGTCTGAATAAAACCGAGCTCTAAAAGCCAAAAAGCACACGGAGACGGAAATACCTTGTGGCATGCTGATCTTCTCGCCGTTCTTGCTCTTGAGCTTGTGCTTCTTGAAGGTGCCCTTGCGCTTCTTGACGTTGGGCTTCTCCTGGTTCTGGTTCAGGTGGAGGATGAGGAGGCTGAGCTCGCGTTCGAACACGTCCTGCTCCCACTGGGCCAGCTGCTGCTCGCGCTGCCGCAGGAACTCTTCGTGGGACTTCTGCTCCAGGGCCGCTCGCTTCAGCTCCTCTTCGCGGCACCGCAGCTCCTGATGGAGGAGGAAACGCATTGCCGCATCGTTAGGGGCATTCTGCAGGCTATACAGCTTCAGGAGGGCAATGGGCACGCACTGGATTTTATTTAGGGGCATCAGTGTAATGCCACACTTCCAAAGTTGTCTGAAAGTAACATCATTTTGCTTCACATTTATACACCGATTTAGGCCCCTGTCTAACTGCCCTGTTGGTGTAGTTTTTCCCGTATTTATATGTTGAATGTCACCTTGAATTATTTGTGGAAAATTCACCTTTTGTGGATTTTGTCTGTAGGGCATATCTAAAAACATTTTTAAAAAAGCTGAAATAACTAGCCGTAAAGCTACTTGATGCGCTATTAGCCAATGTTTGCTAAGCAGCTAAATGCTAAGTTCAGTATCTTTACTTTACTTTAACAGTTCAATGTTATTTTTATTGGTGCCTCAATATGTTTTATTTGTATAATATTCATTTTAGAAATGTTTTATTTATTTTTTTTACGTTCAGTACTTTTTCTTTGTACTCCGGCAGCCAAGCAACAATATTTCATTGCCAAATTCACAATTTAATAGACATAGTTTCACTAAAGAGCACACAATAACATATATTTACTTCTAGGAGCTTACACTACACATGGTGTACCTCTATGGATATACATTTACTTTACAAGTACCACTGACATAGCTTGAATAAGATTTAACTTCATAATGTTGCCCAGCTTTTCATCATTACTCTTCCCCAGACCAGAGAAAACAACAAGTAAAGCTTTTAAACTCTTTCTACCTCTCCTTCTGGACTACTGTTGTTAGGAACGGTCTGAAAAACAACCTGAGCTCCCAATAAACAACGGCTTTACAGCCTCCAATATATCCAGAGGTAACGTGTGTTCTTCATAAAGCCCAGCAACAACTTTACCGGCTTAAATCGGAGCTAGCTTTTGCTCGATGGCGCTCACATTAAAATGCCAGCTCAGAGGAGCAGAAATATGCGCCGTTCCCCCAGTAAACGTTCAAGGCGAGGCCCGTTAAACACCAGTCCGAGAGCTCGCGCAGAGGCCATCATTTTTAGGTTTCATTTGATGTTTTCAGCTCAAAATACAACAAATAACCGACGCTTCAATCATGAGAAGAGCTGCCTGTCTCGAAGGAGTCGTGTGACTTACCAAAACATCTGTATAAAAAGAAACGGTGGAGCTGAAAAGGGAATGTAGTAAAAGAAGAAAATAATAAAAGGTTTGATATGTGAACCGTAATATGGCTGACACTTCTGTCCTGACAGAGAAAGTCCAGTAGGACTTTCAGGTTTCAACACATGGAAATAAAATATTTCCACAACTGAAGAGAATATTGTCAATAGAAAGGCAGCAAGTTTATTACCAAAATGATATAAGCTGCAAGAACACATTTGTAGATTCTAATCAGGTTTTGTCCCATTACTTGATATTTACACTAAAATATTTCCTGTAGCAGACTTTTTAAACCAAGGGTCTCATTTTTTCAGTCTTCCTCAGAGAGTCTGATTGATATGATTGATTTCAGCACATATAAATATACTCTCATCAACAAACTGCATTTTTGTACTACATATTTAGGCTTAGCTGGGGTCTCAGTAGGGCTGCTAGTAATGACAGTGATGTGACCTGCAATAAGTAGGAAACTCAAAAATGTTAATGTCTTTCTACTTCAGGTACACGAGTAACTCCTCCAAAGTGCTTGCTGTACTAATAAGATTAATTAATTAATAATTAATAAGAGTGCCCCTTTGACTGTTATACTGCAGTTCTTATTTTGAACAGTAGATGGCATTTCAGGCAAAATCTGCTCAAATTCAATAACAGGCAGTAGAGGAAGAGTCTCTACAGGAAATGCATTGCTAATGCTGACTACAAAGTTTGGCCTACAAAATGTTAGGCCAAACTTTTCGTTAAAAAGTAACAAAATGTTACTTTTTAACTATTTTTACTAGGGTTTTTTCTGGGGGTTTTTATGCATAATTTTGTGGTAAATATTCAGCCATAAAATCAACATATGGCTGAACACATTATTTGCTGAACACATGTGCTTCTGTCACGACATCCTGGAATGGAAAGTATACACCAGGTAACATAAAAATTAATAAGGCCGGATATGGCAACTATCCACCATATTGTTTTAGTCATTTATATGTAGGAATCCAGAAAAAATTCTAGATTGTGAATCAATGTGCCTAATCCAGAAGGGCAGATCTAATCAGTCCAATTCTATACTTCATATCCTGAGTGATGTCATGCCTTATTATTTATCCTACATCCATTTAGAGTTCCTAATTGCACTTTCTGTACCATTTAAAAAGGTTTGTTACAGTTTATTTTTACATGTCTGACTAAGGTAGAACACCTATTGTTTTTATCAGTTTCAGTTTCTTTATTATTTATTTTTACATTAGCTGTTCTGATCCTAACTGCACTGACTGAACAAATTAAAATTGTGTTGTTTTTACAAGTTTGACCAAGCTTGTGAAGTTGTTGATGGGTTTAAGTTCTTTACTGGTGCGGTAACGCAGTACATTTACGTCTGTGTTTAAAATAACAAAAATAAACTTTTTTAGTCATTTCAGCACTGCTTTTTGTATCGTATCAGAATCGAACGATACTAAACCTCAGATATCAGTATCGGTATTGAAAGTAGAAAAAATGGATTGGTGCCTTCAAAAGGCCAACCGTTCTTCCCCTCATTATGATGTGCCATCAGCTAATGTGTCAGCTAGGCGCTAGCTGAAGTCTCAGCCAACCTCTTACCTTCTCTTTGGCCCGCAGTTCGTCAAACATGTCCTGGATCTCCAGCTTCCAGTCATCCTGTAGCGAGTGGAACGACTCCTGCGGCATCTCCTCCTTCACCTGCTGCTCCAGGGCGGTCAGCTGCGTCAGGATGGAGCCGAAGTCGGGCCGTCGGTGAGGGTCCTGGTCCCAGCATTCTGTCACACACAGACAGGCAAGCGTGTCCGTAACAAACTGTATCGCACATTAATGCCCAGAAGACAAACAGAAACGCCGATAACCCTGAGAACACCAGATCTGTGTTTGACCTCGGCTCGTTGCAGCTGCCTCCTGAAGACGGTAGAGAGAACCTGACAGATTCAGTAGTTCCCAGAACGGTTTCACTTCTTTTCCTCCAGAAATGAGGAAGTCGCTCACTCATAACGCTTCGACTCAGCAGCCATCAGATCGGATTTTTACGACTTAAATTAGGCCCGGTGACTCACTGAGACGGCTGGTTCTGCACCGGAGAATGTTTAATGGAGATCCTGCCGTGCCTGTGACTTTTATTTACATGCGATCCAGGCGTTTATGCCAGCCGATTCCACGGATAAGCTGATCTCTTATTGAGAGGGTTCCGCCTAATTAACTTGCTTCGGGGGAGTTTGGCATCATTTGCTGTAAAACTTTGGGCACGGTAATAATAAAACAAATCCATTAATTAAACAATCATCTGGGGGCAAACAGTGACTTAGGGTTGTTGTTTTTTTTTCTTCAATAAAGAAAGATGAAAAATAAAGTATAAAAAAGTATATTATACCAAAATATTCAAGTATTTTTTCTGTTAAACAAGAGAAGAAAAAATTGCACAAGACATATCCAGAACACACTTCCTCTTATTTAAAAAGAAACACTTTGAATAATCTGTTTTCTCTCTTTTAAGTGCAGCTTTGTGGAAATGACAAAAAAAAAATTATTATGTGATTGCTGCAATGATGAATCAATCTCAAACAACCAAACGGGAAAAAAGCCCACCTGACATGAGCTGAGCGAAGGGTTCGGGGCAGGTGGAAGGGATGGGCAGGGTCAGCTTGTTGACGGCGACTCCATAGGCGACGGCAAGACCATCAATCCCTCTGTAGGGGGCCTCCCCTGTTAGCAGCTCCCACAGCAGGACACCGTAGCTGGAAATGGGAAAAAAAGTAAACTACAGTTTGCTCAGAAGAAAGATGGACCATAAAAAGAAATTTAAAAAAAAGCAGAAAGGGTGCACTGATTGCAGGTTTCTGGCTGATTGACAATTACGAGGTTCAGATTTTGGCTGATACGGTTTTGGGGTTATTTTTGTCTGAAATGTTGCTAAATATAGTAGGTAAGATCAGTGGATAAGATCAGTTTTACATGCAATCGGCCGATTACTGATCTCCCAAAATTAAGAAAATCTGGGCTGATTTATCAGTGCACCACAAAAGAAAAGAGCAAAACTCACAAGAATTGTAGAAAATATCTCCTTCAAAAATTCTTAGTTATAAAACAGATATTTGTAGAGTCGTAGAGAGATTAATTCTCTCTCTTTCATCTTTGTTGTTCTGATGGAGGCCTCAGATCCTGACACTTTTTGATGTAAGCAAAACCTATTAAAATCAAAAAATATTCTGCATATTTTATTGTGAAGCATTTATATAATTGTGAAGTGGAAGAAAATGTTCTTTGGAAATAAAAAAAAACTAAAAAAGAAAAAGTGGCATTGTTTTCACTTCTAATACCACTAAATAAATAAGATAAATAATAAAATAAATGTGAAATTATATACAACTTCTTTTTTTATCTCAGATTTTCAATAAAATAATTTACATTTTTCACATTTTCTTTTTCCAAAATTCCCCCTCCCTTTTCTTATTCTTTTTTTTTTTTTAACCAGAACTTTAACATTACCTAGTTTCTGTAAATAAACATTAATAAAGACGTTTCATGAACATCCGATAAATTATAATCCCACTGTAGCACATAAAGGCCACAGGGAAAGGCAAAACGAGTCCTTGGAAAATCCCGCTCGACAACAATTCCAGCGCAACAGGAAGAGCCTGTGACCCGATAAATACTACGGCTGAAACAGGAAGTGAGGTTGTAGTCCATGGTGTTCATGGAGTGGGAGGAGACTGGCGGATGTAATACGACTCCTGGTTCAATGACTACAGTGCTTCTATCTTGAAAGAGAAACTGCTGAAAGATAAGATGAAAAAAAAGAAAAAAACGATAGGCTGACCGTTCTCCACACAAACAAAGCTCTAAATGAGGAAGCAGCTGACTCACGCTCAGACCTGACCCACTCAGAGCCAAAACAAACTGTAGGATTGGTTCTTATTAAAGAGAAAAATAACAGAAAAATACAACAAATAGACAAGTGACATAAGAAACTAATTAAGTGTTTAAAAAAAGGCTGCAGCTTACTTAATTTGTAAAGATGTTTACATGAATAATGACTAATGGCATTATTGAGAAAGCATTTAAAAGCATTAAAACCTCTCTACTATTTTAGGCATCATCTGTGTCATATTTATAGGTCTATTCCCTTTTTAACAGTACATCTTAAGTGGTTATTTAGGTTATTTAGACTGTTAGCTTCTGTGGTGTGCCGAAACAGTTTCCGGGATATTTGATGTTTGGCCAATTAAAATAGGCAGTTAGAAGCACCTTTAGAAAACTTTTAGATGTTAAGGTATTACAGTCATCGGCAAATTCTAAGGGTCCACTGTGTAACAAATGGCAATTGTCATCGCAACATCATCAGTGTGTGCAGTATTTAAATCTCAAAGGCTTGCATGAGCGCAGAACATTTCAATCGTCGGTATATTTGTTGACAATGTATTCAACCAGCTGGACACACACCAGCTTATTCACGTATGATTTTATTTGTGTTTCTTATTTAATGGAAACACTGCAATTGCGAAATTGTGGGGGGTTTTCCTTTTCCCCCCCAACATTAGCAGAAAATACACAAAGTTTTGTGCACATTTGTAATGGAAACGCGGCCATTGTGAGAGAATCTGATCACTGATCACGTGTAAACAAACGTGTTACGGTTTCACTGAAAACCAGCTCAGTGTAAACAAGGCTTTATGTTTTAAGTGGCAGAGATACAACAGTTCACATAGAGAAAGAAAAAACTAATTTTCATCAGCATCCCAATTAAACATTTTCCTGATATCACGATGCCCTGAAGAGGTTGAACCAAACCTGCAGTCAAATGGAGCAATCAGTCACTAAAAACAGAATATGAGTTACACCTAACTATTCAATGACGGTGTGACACAGCATCTATTTTAGTCCCAAGCAGCACACAATCTGATAACAGCATAGACACTGGGCTCGCTCTTGTGCAACCATGATAAAACCCTGTCATGACAAACTGATGCAATGGAGCATCATGCTGGATGAACCACATGCTTACAAAGCGCCAACAAGTCACGCATGATGAACACAAACAGACAAACAGGGGGAGTTTCTTTTTTTGTTTTTTGAGCGCACACAAAGGCTTCAGCACTGTGTCTTCAGAAGACGAAGCGTGGCGTAGAGGACTTGGATCACCCACACCGTCAATTAGCCCTCGGCCGGCCCTGACTGAGCGCGCTCTGTGGGCCCCGCTGTGAGGAGAGCACAGGGCCGCCGCCTTTTTGTTTTTAATTTAGTCCCTTAATTACAACTTCCACATGCTGTGTGACTGCGCAGAAAGAAAGAAAGAAGAAGAAGAAAGAAAAAAAAAAAAAAACGGCCTCGTCGGCTCGCACCCAGAGGCGACCGTCGGGTTCCGCTCCAAAAATCTGGAGACGAGCAGCCGAGGACAGATGAGAAAGAATAAGAGAACAAAGATCGGCCTTCGTTTTTTTGTTTTTTTTTCCCCAAAGAAAGGCTGTTTCTTACTTTGCTCTGCAAATGCAGACGCGTCGCCCCGTTCTCTCGCTCTTCGTGTTAAGACAGCAAGAAAGAAACAGTGGATAAACTAAAAGAAAATGGGGTAAAACTGTAAACTTATACTAATTAGGGGTTTTCTTTGATAGCTCCAGCACATCGAGATTCTGCTTAGACGTTCATTTGAATGTGTCCCAAGAAAGCACAGAGAGGATAGGGTGACAATTAAAGCAAAGCATATGAAAGTAGAAGTTTAATCTCGGCAAACAAATCTTGAGAATGACTCATCGATTTACAAAACTACAAATCTTTCTTCATACTGCCAAGATGAAGACTTTGTGTTTACGTCCATCCAGATTCCAGTTCTAAAACACCACTTTAAGAAATCTCAGTCATTACGATAAACCCTAAAACCATAATCAGGGGATTCCGGTTATAGTGTGTAGATGTGGCTCCACACACACACACATACGCACACACCAACACTAAGCTATTCCCAGATAAAGGGCCGCGGTCAGGTCTGGTGTGAGGCCTCCTTCTCTGTCTATAGCAGAGACAATGGGACAGTGTGCAGTACACATGTCTCACAACAAAGCACAGAGCAGGCCTTTGAAGGGAACGCCGTCACATGGTCACGGTGGCCTTGTTGCAATCCATCACCCTGCCTCTCCTTCTCTTCATCAACAAGTCTCCAATTACAACTTCTATCTTTTTTTTTTCTCCTCCTACCAAACCACCAACTCCACTCTACAGATGATTGAAAACCGTCTGTTGGAAAACAAACGAAAACTTGCAAGCCCCTTCGACACTTCTGCAAAAGTTGCTGGGACATGCTAGCATACGCCTCGCAAAAAGTATACAAAGTATCCATTGGAAATTAAACATTTTTAAAATGTTTGTCAAACTACAAACACAAAACGTGAAAACCCACCAGGCTAATGCTAGGTTAATAACTGCGCCTCTGCACAGCAGCGCCAGCGCCTCTGAACTTTTGTTAATTTTTGGGAGAATACTGCACCAACGCACACATGAACTATAAAAGCCACAATACTTTTAAAAGCACAGTTATATAACTCAGTCTGCACTGTAAGAACACAAAATCTTACCAGGTACTTTTGGTTTAGTTTTTAGTGCAAATATCTTAGAACACATTAAATAAGACAAAACTAACTAATAACTTTTTAGCAAGATATTGGAGCTTATTTTAACTCAGTACTTCCTTAACGTTCATGAATACGAACTAGTACCACTGGCAGTTTACTTCACTTTTGGGAATAAAAAAAAAAGTAAAGTTCCAGTAGAACTTGTACATCATCAATATTACAAAAAATATTTTGATAAAGCAAACTGCTATTATCTTTCTGAAAAGTTGTTAGTTATGTCTTATGTCAAGTGTACCAAGATATTTGGACAATAAAATGGTGTCCTTAAGCCTGAAAGTCTCCTACATTCTTCCTGTCATTAAGCCAAAGTATAACATAAAATTCCTCCCCAAGAGGAGTGGATGTGATGTTTCAACCATAAGTGTGACCATGCTCACCTCCAAACATCGCTGCCCTTGGAGAAGGTGGAGGACTTGATGACCTCCGGGGCCATCCAGGCGTAGGTTCCGGCCGTGCTCATCTTTGTGGTCTTGTGCCACTCCCTCGCCAGGCCAAAGTCAGTGATCTTCAACGTCAGCCCCTCCATGCATTCGTTCTCTATGGGCTGAGCCAGCAGGACTGCAGAACGCCAGGACGGGTAGGTAGGAAAAGGAAGGAAGGGAAAAAAAAATGGTTTGTGTTAGACAGAGGCATCGTGATCTTACATTTTGATAAAACAACTTCAGAGTGATTTTGTCCCACAACAGCAGATAAAAATCAAATCTGGCTGAGATTATCCTTCAGAACAAGGATTCTCGGTTTCTTTCTCACTTCCTCTTCTTTTCAGCCCACTATGATCCAGTCACACACATTTAAGCAATTCCTGCGTCACACTTCACTTTCCTGTTGTAAATATATTCGTCTTCGCCCGCCAAAACTCGTCAGCGCTCCTGTACATGGAGCGAGGTGCTTCCATTGTAAGCATTGAAAATACAATGCTTACAATGCTATGCTAGCCACACAAAGAGGAAAAACATATTCAAAATTAACTTGCAGAATTCAGAAGATTTCTGGATTATAAATATTTTTATTTACATATGGACACTGGGCAGTACGGGCAGTGAATTTAATTCCATTGTTTTGTGTTGTGTATTGCAATGACCATAAAAAGGATGTCATTACAAAATTACCCATTTATTTTTGGCTGTAAATCTATGATTTCATGCTGTCAAAACCTTGCAACCTTAAGTTTCTGAAAATAAAACTTAACGATAGCAAAGCAATTTTATTTAAAAACAACCACAGCTGCACATAACAGCAACTATTAAGATATGACATAAAAGATTAAACAACAAATCAAGCAAACAAGGTCACACAAAGTCTCATCACCGTTTGAATGCCAAAGAATTTTAAAAAATTGGTTTTAGGAAGAATTTTAAAAGCAGAATAAAAAAACTCTCTTCATTAAAATTATTATATCACAGTTGAGGCCTTGTCCACCGTCAGCTAATCAACCAACTTTGATTAACAGGGTTTTTTTTTTTTTAAGTTTAAGAAAATTCAGATTATGCACTACGTTCTGATGAATAAATGGGAATAATCTTGTAATGCATTCATTTTAAAAACCTCTATCATCAACAACACTTATTTTCCTTTAAAAAAAACATATTTAAAAAAATCATAAAACCAGTCAAAGTAATAATAGCAGGTCAGAAAAAGAAAATTTTAATTTCTATTGATCATTGTATTATTTTTGGGGTTTATTCTGTTCCCATGTTTGGTCCATGATGTTTCCAGTCCCTACAATATGCTTCAAAGAGACAATGTCAAGATGATATTCTCAGAGGTTAGCCTTTTTTTTAAGCAATCACAATAAAAAGATGGCTCTTGTTAAAAACTAAATGTGTCTAACATTGACAGCTGTTTTAACCCAGAAAGTGCTCCGACTACTTGGGCTCAGAAGGTTTTGCTGCCTGGACAGATCTGGCTGTTTGGGCTTAGAAAGCTTCAATACTACGGACAAGCTTTAAAACTCTCAGCTCGTTGAATAAAGACTCACAAAAAAGACCCTCAAACACAGGGTTTTCTCTTAAGCAACAGTTATTTTGAAACTCTGGGAGAGATAAGGACGGTGTTGAAGAATTCATCCCAAAGGACAAAATGATAGATTTAGAAGGAGAGCACAAATACGAATGTCAACATTACAATCAGGATCCTTGACCTGGGTCTGCTTTGCACTAGAAACTGATGACTGAGTCATAGTTAATAAATTAAAACTTTAGGTGCAAAGCTACAAGCTAAGGTCTAAACTTAGTAAGATTAAGCGTGTTTTCCTAAAGCAACCCACACTGTGTGTGTGGGGGGCGGGGCTTGGGGGTTAGTGGCAGGTCAGGATCACTGATCTGCTTGTTTCCTTATGCAGCCTGTTGCCAAGTGGCCCTTTACAACAACTACTTTAATGACTCAGAACATACTGTATCCGATTTCCGGTAAGCTTCGTAGCACTGAACTGGCGTGTTAACATACGTCATGGACAAAAAGTGGGTAAAATTTAAATCTCCAACAGAGTCCATGCCTCCAGTAAGCAATCATTTCTCAATAACAGAGCTCAGACCCTCTGTACGAAGCAAAACATAGAACAAGGGGCTCCTTTTCACCAGACTAACACAACAGCATTAAAAACTGTAAATCTGCAACCATCATGATCCATGTTTAGTCAACTGTCAGCTTGTCCAACACCAAAGCAAGCAAAGGGACGCAGAGCTGATCCTTGATGTTCTGCCTCCTACAGCACGCCTGTCTCACGCCTCTTATGCGTGTCCTGCACCACAATAAAACTTCTCTGCCACTACAGACCTCCTCATGCAATATCACAACTCCTCCATTGGCACCCGGTCATACACTTTCTATACATCAACAAGATCTAAAATCTTGTCTGACAAGATCCAAGATCAACAAGATCCAGCTCCCTCTGGCCTTCTCTGTACTTCTACATCAACAGCCCTAAAGCAAAAGTTGCATCTGTAGTTCTCTTTCAGAGGCAATGTTTGCCTTACGGATTGCTTTTCAATGTCAGTAAAAAATATCCTACAGGAGACTTGTCCTTAAAGATGTGCCGATGATCAGTGTTGTGCAGTCTTGACAGGGCAAGTCTCAGTAGAGAGAGTCTAATGCTGAGGACGGCGGTTGCTGCTCGACAGTGACGCTGGATCACATGTCTCAGAGCGAGCGAGCGAGTGGCAGTGGTGTCTTTCTTCCTCTTTGCTGACAGACCGGTCATCGTTCAGGGCACGACTTGCTGTCAAACTCACGGAGGAGAAGCAGCAAAGAAAAGTATCACTCATTATAGGGAAGTAGGACTCCAGCTATTTGGAGTCACTTTCCGACTTCCTGCACTTGGCGCCTTTCCCCGCTCCTCCTTCCCTCCCTCCCGTCCCCCACCATTTAGACCTCAATGGAAAAAAAAAAGAAATCGATTTTGTCCAGACTCTCTTCACACATTAATATGAGTTTCATCTTTTCTCGTTGCATCTCTCGGACTCCCTTTGTGTCCCTTTGTCAGACATCCTGTGCTGCGCCTTGTAGCCCAGAGGCAGAGACTTTGACGTCACAAAGGAATGCATCACAAGAAGTTGTGTTGTCTGCTGTGTTTGTGGGAGCTTTGAGAGGCGATGAAGAGACTTGGGTCTTTCACAATCTAATTTCAAGGCCAATTTATGCACCCTGCCCAGCTGAAGGTGCAAAGGCGGAAGATTAATGAAGGCTTTCAGTCAGAATAAATCAAGATCTTCTGGTAGAGGGGATGGGAAAAAAAGAAAAGAGGTCTTGATCGTTTAATTCCCATTTGCATCCCCCTTTACATCGGAGTCATGGGTTCTATTGCCCGCTGATTGGGTTGGGGGAGTACTAAACAGAGTCACCCCACCACCCAGCTTCCACCACAACCCTCGCTTGCCAGGCTGTGTCATGGATTTTGGCCAATTGGAGTGGCAACACTATACATTAAAAACTGAAAGACATCTTTTTTAAGCCTCACCCAGTGTTTTCTGAACTTTGAGCATATAACAAGTTATGTTATTTTTGTAAACACGTGTTAGGAGAGGTCACATGAGTCCAGAGAGACTGACAGGAAGAGATCAGGATGTCAAAGACTGATCACCCAACTGTTGTTTCCTTACAACATCCGGAGGGGGTAAATTTTATTAAAAAAAGAACACTCCTCAGTACACTGTAAAGATGGCTTGATGCGGTTCTGACTGTGAAAAAAGTATGTTTTGGTTGGGTTTTTTATGATAAATTAGGACTTAAAATGTTTGTCCGAATAAAAGAAAATCATTGAAGTGAAATCTCTGAGCCCATCTTTCCTTGAAATAAAGAGATTGAGAGACAAAAGGAAAATTCAGTTTATTTTCTTTCTTATTAGAAAGTCATAAATGACAAATAAGCACTTTCCACTTTACGATTTTTAGCCAAGTTACCAAAATTTGGAAACCAGAACCATCTTTTTAAATGTTAACAAGCTGGTATTGTTTTGTGCATGGATGCTTTTCAGCTGAACTGCAGATTCAACTCTTTACAGTACCACCATTCAAAGCAATTGATCTCAATGACTGAGTCTAAGGAGATCAACTCGTTTACTGCTGTGAACGTTTCTAGGAAGTCGTTTACAGTGGCCCAGTGTGTGAGAAAAAGATGCAGCTGAAGAGTTGAGCATGAGTGCACACTGACAAAAAGAAGAAAAAGTGAAGACCAAACCCCAGAGGTGCACTCTGGTGAGACAGCTGAAGCATCAAAAACGACAGTCGTCCAGTGACTCTAGCAGTACATCCAAGTCTAATCATAAAGTCTCATTAGAGGTGAGAAAGAATCCTCTTATGCTCATCTGTCATTCTGTTCAGTAATATAAAAGCTTGTAAAAAAAAAAAAAAAAAAAAAGACTACCATTGATGCATCTTAAAAGCGATCCTAAAACACGTGGTCTACCTGGTCTCCAAACTGACACGCATGCTTCTGCAACATCCGCGTGCAGCCAAGAGGAGAAGCAAAACACACGCAAGAGAGAGAGAGAGAGAGAGAGAGAGAGAGAGAGAGAGAGAGAGAGAGAGAGAGAGCGAGCGAGCGAGAGCGCAACAACACCCCCACACA